GGTAGACACTCCAAGGAAGGCAGCCAAAATCTTGTCTTCATTTTCTTTCTAGTGTTCAGAGAAGCACATAATACTCCATAGACATTGCAAGGTTGCCTTTTGGAAAAGCAGATTGCAAAGGTGGTGGTTTAAGGGAGTAGGGACTCAGGCCAAACCAAGGAGCCAAGGAACAGCAAATACACACAGCAATGAGAAAAGGGAATCCCAGATAGGGAGCAGCAGCAAGGTGTGGTGAATAGTACCATGACAGGAAGTGAGGCTGAGAGTAAGAACCATGAACAAGGAGCAGATGGCCAGGGGTAGGGAACAGGGATAGGGAGCAGAGACCAGGAAAAGAACATATGGAGTAAGAGTAGCAGAGTGTGGGAGATAGAGGGTCACAGCAGGGGAATGAGAGTTGGCACTGTGAACAAGGAGATGACTGAGACTAGGAAACAGGGGTAGGGAGCAGAGACAAGGAGGAGGAAACAAGGAAGAGCAAAGGAGGGCAGGGAGCAGAAAGAACAATGGACAAGCTGGAGCACCCAGGGGAAATGAATGGCTGCAAGCATGCCCACTCAGGGACCAATGTTATCCTTTCTTGTCAGTATTCAGGAAGGCCTTTTATGCTACTCCTGAACCCTTTCCATGGACTCAGCTCTGAACCTTATGGAATGCTGCTTCTCAGCCACAGGGACCTGTGGGGAAAAGCCATGCCCCAAGGGTCAGTGAAGTATGGCCTGGTATGCCTTGGCTAGAATGAACATGATACCCAAGTCTCCAAAATTCTAGCCACTATGGGTTAGAGACAGAATTTGCTAAAATTAGAAGCACAGTAACCTGTGTTGGTGATGGGAGTTGAAAGAGAGACTTTTTGATCTGATCTGGTACAGAGAGAGTCTCCAGAGTGAGGACAGATCAGCTGACCAGCAAATGAGAAATAATTCCTAAGGAAGGCAGGATTCATGGCAGGGTCCTGGGGCTGAGTGTTTGGGAAGCAGGTTTGAGAGCATCTGATGTCAGAGAGGGGCTCCTATATTGAGGTAGTGGGCCAGTAGACACTTGGTAAGGGGTTCCACCTCCATCAGAAGTTGCTGGAGAGCTCCACAAAGAACTCAGCAGGATATACAAGCTCAATGGAAGATAAATTGTCCACATCTGGGAGATGCAAGCCTAGGTATTGCTGCTTCCACTGGAACCAGGAGCTGGTTTGTAGAGAAGATCTGGATGGAACTTTAACCATACCTTAATGACTGTCAGCCAATCTTCCTTTTTTCCCTACTGCTTTTTTTCCTTTTTCTTTCCATTTTCCCTTCCTTCCTTCCTTCCTTCCTTCCTTCCTTCCTCCCTTCCTTCCTCCTTTTCTTTCTTTTTATTTGTGGTTCTGGGTATCAAATTCAGGGGCTTGTTCATGCTAGGCAAGCTATCTACCATTGGGCTACATCCCTATTATTTGTTGAGACAGTGTCTTACTACATAGTCCAGGCTCACCTGAAACACTCCAAATGTTCCTGCTTCAGTCTCTTTTTTTAATTTCATTTTTCTTGTTCTTAATTGTGTGTGTGTTCATGTCTGTGAGTGGATATATGTACATTAGTACAGGTGCCTGCAGAGGCCAGAGGAATCAGATCTTTCTGGAACTGAATTAGAGGTAGTTGTGAGCCACCTGATGTGGGTGCTGGTAATCAAACTCAGGTTCTCTGGAAGAACAGTATATGGCCTTAACCACTGAACCATTTTTTCCAGCCCCCTGCCTCAATCTCTTAACTGTTAGAAATACAGGCATGTGTCACCTCAACTGAATACAAGTCTTTTTTTTCTTAAAAAGTTTTTATTTTTATTGCAAGTATGTGTTCCTGTGTTTTGTATGTGTGATATATGAACACTTTAGAGGGTGCACATGGAGGCCAGAGAAGGGCATTGGCTACCCTTCTCTATTCTCCACCTTATTCCTGGAAGAAAACCTGGAAATCCTTATTTTCAGCTAGGCTGACAGTCAGCAAGTCCCAACAATCCTCCAGTCTCTGCTCCATTGGTGCTGGGCTTACAGGTGTGTGCAGGATCATGCCTGGCTTGTTACTTGGGTGCTGCGATCTGAATTCCAGTCTTCAGGACTGTACAGCAAATGCTCTCAACCACTGAGCCATCTCACTAACCCCCTGAGCCCCCAATCATCTTTGAACAAAACAAAAAACTTGGTATGGTGGTGTGTGCCTTTAATGACAGCACTTGGGAGGTGGAGGCAAGAGGATCAGGAGTTCCAGGCAAGCCTGGGCTGCCGGAGACCTTACCTCAATAAGACAAAACAAAACAAACAACTGTCTCAGACTTGAATTGGATGTAACTGTACATACCTATAAGCCCAGCACTCTGGAGACAAAAGAAGGATTAAGAATTGGAGGCCATGCCCCTTTCTGAATGGAGATGGAGAAGTGGATGGGGAAAGGGGTAAATGCTGTGGGTGGGGGCGGGGAGAGGGCAGGGTGGGAGGAATGAGAGGAGAGGAGGAAGGGGAAACTAGTAGAATGTACAGTAAATGAAAAAATAAAAGAAAAAGAATAGGAGGTCAGTTTTGGCTACATAGACACTCTGTTTTCATTCTCCTATCCAGAGAGAATTTGTGCCGTAATCCTTTTCTTTTGTGGAGCTTCACTATTATAAAAAGTAGAAAAACTGTGACTTACATTGTTGCTCAAATTTCTAAAGGTCTTTTAATAAAAAAAAAAAACCCAGAGCCTGATATTGTAGTAAATGCTGAGAGAACAGAGAGACAATGGAACAAGCCACTGCCACGTCTCACCTCACCAACTCCATGAATCCTCTGTTTGAAAGCCTCTGAGTCCTCAGCTGAAAAAGCTCTCTAGCCGAAAGGCCTCTAGCTGAAAAGGCTTCAGCTAAAAGAGTTTCAGCCAAAAAGCTTTAGTTCCTGTCTCCTCATGCCTTACATACCTTTCTCTTTATCCTTATCCTGCTCCCTCTGTGTCTGGCTGGCAACTCTTCTGACTCTGCCCTTCCTCTACCCAGCATTCTGTCTGTCCAAGGCTGTCTTGTCCAGTCTCTTCCTGCCCAGATATCGGCCAATCAGCTTTTTATTAACAATGAGAGCAATACATATTTACAGTGTACAAGAGGATTATTCCACAGCAGACTTCACTCAATCTCTCCCCACAGGGCAAATATACTTCATAATCATCTTCCAAGCCTTACTACTCTAAAGGGTCTGGGTAAGGCCTGATATGTCCATTTTTTAAATTTTTTTATTTTTTTGGTTTTTCGAGACAGGGTTTCCATGTGTAGCTTTGCGCCTTTCCTGGAACTCACTTGGTAGCCCAGGCTGGCCTTGAACTCACAGAGATACGCCTGGCTCTGCCTCCCAAGTGCTAGGATTAAAGGCATGCACCACCACCGCCCGGCTCAATATGTCCATTTTTTAAGAAGGATTGAGGCTCAGGAGAGGGACAAACCAATCCCCAGGTCATGAACTGGGCTGGATCTCATGCTATGTAATTCACAGGGCTGTAACCATTCCATGCACTTAATCTCAGCTATGATAGAATCTTTCTCAAAGAGGGTCACAAATGGACATGCTGACTTTTGAGGGTGTCCAATGTTTTTTCTAGAAAAAAGTGGTGGGGAATGAGGACTCCCGGAACTACAAATACTGCCAAGAGCTTGTGCCAGGTCTTGGGAAAAATGACCTTGTATGATGTTCTGAACTCTATATACCCTGAGGTACTTGCCAGCCCTGCCCATGCTGTACTGGTGCTGTTGCAATTGTTACCAAGGCATCCCCCAACAAGACTGCAATACCCAGGGGTCAGTAAAGGGTGCAGAGATGAACCACTTGGGAGACAGTTTCAGGGAACAGCATCTGCTTTATTGTTGATGAGCAGCCACATGTTTAGTGGAAGCCTATTGACTGTGATTGGTTAGCACATTACCTTGGATTGAATAGTGAGCACTCATACCACCAGGTCTCTATGTAGAAGAAGCACATAAAAGGAGACATGAAGAGTGCAGACATGTCCACAGGCCAGCTACTGGCTTCTCATGCTTCTTCAGAATTCAGTGTTCTGACTTCTGGGAATATTCTGTTCTGGTGTGCTATGCTTCTTTCTTAGAAGTGCAGTGTGCCAGGTAGGCTGCCTGCATTTTCTCCTCCACACTGGGTACAGATCCTATCTGCATGGTGGGCGGGTTGGTGAAAGAATGGCTCTTGATACTAAGTTTCATCCTTCCCCTGCCACCTTCTGCTTTCTTCGAAGGGCCAAAATGTTGAGAACTCTAGAGAACAGACCCTGAAGTCAGGGAATCTCACTGATGTTCAGGGAGCTGGTACTAGAGTTTGATGACTGGACAGAAGCTGCCAAAATCTTTCTGGCATCTGAAGCAATGTCAACAAAGTTACCAAGGCCAAAACAGGGCCTCAACATCTCCCTTGCAGTTACACCCATCAGCACAGTCTTTGTGCAGACATTGTTGCTTTGCTACAGCAGGCATTCCCTACTCAAGTGAATAAGTACCATGTGCTCAAAATCTGCCTGTTCTAGGCTGGGTATAGTGATACCTGCTTGTATCCCCAGAGTTAAGGAGGCTGAGGCACGAGGATCATGAGTTCAAAGCCAGCTTAGGCTACATAACAAGTTCCAGGCTAGTCTGAGCAATATAGGAGATATTGTCTTTTAAAAAATTCTGGGGGCTGGAGAGATGGCTCAGCGGTTAAGAGCACTGACTGGTCTTCCAGAGGACCTAGATTCAATTCCCAGCACCCACATGGCAGCTAACAACTGTCTGTAACTCCAAGATCTGACACCCTCACACAGACATATATGCAGGCAAAACACCAATGCACACAAAATAAAAATAATTTTTTTTAATTCTGCCCATCCTGATACACACACACACACACACACACACACACACACACACACACACACACACACACACACACACATATACACACTTAGACCTGGTAGAACCTCCCAGCGATGTAAAAACTGTAAGCCAGGACCCATGTATTAATTCTTTTTCTTTGTTTAGTGTTTTGCTGTGTGTGTGTGTGTGTGTGTGTGTGTGTGTGTGTGTGTGTGTGTGTGTTTGAGAAAAGATTACCCTATGTAGCCCAGGCTGGCTTTAAACTTATGATCTTCCTGACTAAGCCTTCCAAGTGCTAGGATTGTAGGCAGGGCATCATATGCATATGCATAGCTGTTCTTGTTTATAGTCTGATGGGAGGGAATTTGAGGGTCTTTTTGTTCACCAAAGAAGGTACATTGGAGTTGTTTGTATGCTTGTTTTTTTTTGTTGTTGTTGTTCAAGCAAATTCATGTCAACCCAGTACTTCAGTGTTCTCTTGAGTGTCTCAATCCGAAATTCTGGTTCTAGAGTCAGAATCTTTGTAGTATGGGCCTTGGAGCTGGAAGGGATTGGACAGACCTGGACCCATCTGTGGGAACTGGAAGTCCTAAAGAGATGTTCGTCATGTTTCCCATTCAAATTTTACAGAGAAAGATGATCAAGAAATTCGAGAGTCAGTCCAGAGACCTGGGTGTTCCTAGTTTTAAATCCTACGTGGACCTAGGGGATAGAGCCTAATTTTAGAGTGTTTGCTGCTTGCCTAGTACCACACAGGAAAAAAGAAAATAAATACATTAAACCCTAATTCCACGCCTGTGTACAGTGTTTCCTGCAGAGTTGGTCAGAATAAAAGAAACAAGAGGAGAGTAGATCAGAGCTAGAGATTTCAGCATCATTCCTTTTTTTCATTGCACTTCTGGGTATAAGGCCAGGTATATCCCATTTTCCAGAGTCCCTGGCTAGGTGGCAATGTCTCTAGGTCCCCTTCCTTTCACTTAACTCAGATTTAGGAATTATAACAGCTTGGATGGGACATCTTCATTAGACTACATCAGGATAATGCTTGAGGCAAGGAGAGACGTTTACCATTTGATACGGTAGTTTTCAATGAATTTGTCGATAGGGTGACATTTGTGAATAGGGGAATTTTCAACTGTGCATAATTTATTAACTAGAGAAGCTTGGGCAAGTAGGAGTTAGAAATTTCTATAGTAGGCATGATGTGGTAAGAGGATTGCAGCAAGTATGAGGCCAGCCTGTCTCAAAAAGAGGGATAAATAGGAGCTAGAGAGATGTCTTAGTGGATAAAGCACTTGTCATGAAAGTATGAGGACCTGAGATTGAATCCCCAAAACCCACATAAAGCTGGGCTGTGGCAACTTGCATCTGTATGTAAACTGGGAGGCAGAGAAAGGAGAATCCCAGGAAAGCTAGCCTGGTGTATGCAGTGTCTCAGATAAAGTAAGGCTAAGGTCAGACACTCAAGGCTGTCAAGGAATATACAAGCCTTTACTGGTACACACTGACACATACAGAAAGATAAAAAGGAAACAAAAATAATAATAATCACTGTACTAACATGTCTCAAAGTATTGAGTAGAGAAAATATTCAATACATTGGAGTTGATAATGCAAAGTAAATGATCATTACTGATTTTGCAGGTTCCCAGTGCTAATGCCAATGTTGAGATTATTACCAGTATATCATTTTTTTAGGAAAGTATAAAAACCCAACACCTCAGGCAGTGGTGGCGCACACCTTTAATCCCAGCACTCGGGAGGCAGAGGCAGGTGGATCTTTGTGAGTTGGAGGCCAGCCTGGGCTACAGAGTGAATTCCAGGAAAGGCTCCAAAGCTATACTGTCTCAAAACAAACAAACAAAAAACAAAAAAAAAAACATCTTTTTTTCTTTTTCTTTTTTCTTTTCTTTTCTTTTCTTTTCTTTTTTTTTTCTTTTTTTGAGACAGGGTTTCTCATTGTAGTTCTAGTTGTCCTGGAATTCTATCTGTAGACCAGGCTGGCCTTTCCTTTTTTGCCAGAGATTGAACTGAACCTGGAGCTTTGTACATGCTAAGCAGCTGCTCTACCACTAAGCTACATTTCCAGCCTCCAAACTCAACATTTCAAATCTTTTCTTTTTCATTGGTCCCTGGATGCTTCCACCAGGTTATCAGTGTCTTGAGTTTGTTCCCAGACACTACACAGAAACAGTGCTGCTGTGTGATAGTTCTTTATTTCACCATTTAAGAGAAAGAAAGATGGAGGAAAGGTGAACAGTGTGCAGGCTTCAGCTTCCACTGGGGGTAGACTTTGAGTCATCTAGGCCCCCAGGGATTGCCAGGTACATAACCCTGGATTCCGTGGCAGGCAGGCAAAGTTACGGCTCTGGTAGTCCTTCTCAGAGCCCCTGAGGATCTGATCTGTCCACAAGCACTGAGTGTCACTCTCCAGTTTGCAAGGGATGGTTGAACAGGGAAACACCTGGAAGAAGGGAGAAAGGTCCATCTCTGAGGGCTTCTTCTTCCCCTGTTCCCTCCCCTATGTAGTGTTCCACTCTCCCTCTGGTAACACAGAGCTGCTGGGAAGGCTTGACATTGCCCCACCTGTGTTTAGACCCAAGAACAGCTTCTCCCATTTGGGGAACAGAAGGCCAGTGTTCTGGAATGGTGGGTAGGGAACTATCACTAGAAGTCACTCAGGCAGGCCTTCTGAGGAACTGTCCCACAGGGCAGAGAATTGACAGTAGTGGGGAACAGTTTTCATACAGGGAGATTAAACATAAGAATAGGCAGCAGGGTTCTCAGTGACTGGGGACAGAGAATATTTGGTGCCATCAGGGAACAGTTTTGAAATAGCCAGGTCGACATGTCCCTTTGGATTTGGAGAATAGCACTTTGAAATCTTGCAGAACATGCCTGGGAAGCCAAACCCAATCCCAGGAGGTCAGAAACAGACAGTGGTATTCCAGAATAGTCACAAAGGAAAAGTTAGAGAGACAGAGAAGGTTCAGGGAACATGCAGTCCTAAGAGAACAGAACAACCAGAATTGCCAAAAGAGAGGTTCCAGTTTTGAGACAATGGCAAGAGGAATCAAAGACAGTGCTTGGGTTTGGGAAGCGGCTATAATCACAAAGAATAGCCAGAGGGAAAAAGAAACCATTCCAAGAATTATCTCCGGGAGGAGAACTGGATCCAGGAACTTACTGTGCAAACCCCACAGCCAGCACTATAGGTCTTCGAGAAGGCCTTTTGCTGAGCAGGTTTCAGGCTATGCCAGGGAACCAAGAAGCTGCACGCAGTGATGTACAAATTCCCTTTCCTTAGGTGTCCTATACCGGTACGGAGAAACCAACAGGCTTTTGATTGGCTGGGTGGTGCCAGAGGGGTCACCTGATTAGCATTAGGTTACAAACCGCCGCCCCCCCTCCAACCCACCCCATTTCAACCAGGCCCTTTCCCTTTAGAACCTAGCTCCTCCCAGTTGCCAGGAAGCATCTGGGGATGAAGAGGTGTGGCCCAAGGTGAAGGGGCGGGGCCTCACCCGCGATGAGAAACTCCTCGCTGAGGTTCTGGGATTTGTGGACATATCCGCAGAGGCTCTCCAGGGCTGGGGTGTAGGCGAACTGGAAATCTACAACATTCCCCACAGCATCGAATCCTTTGAGCATCTGCCCATGAGTGACAAAAAGTGTGTCTTTTACTGATATAATCCTCCCACTCCGCTCTCTCAACCTGATGTCATATATCTAAATCACAAGATTACAGAAAATGACCACACCAACCAAAGGCTAGATGCTTGTTTTTTTGACGGGGAGGAAGAGGTTAGGTATGGCTATGGAGGGAGGGAGCGGGGGAGGGGAAATACCTTAGTCATATTGATCTCATAACGCTGGTATAAGGTGGTCATGTTGATTTCTGGGGGCCCCATGAATTTAGCCCTTATGACTAGGAAGAAAGGAAGGGGAAAATAAGGAGTCAGGTGGGCAGCACAAACCCATAACAACAAAGCATATATACAGCATAATTCTAATAGAAACAGCACACTTAGTGGCTTCCACATCTGTTGATTCATCTATACATTGTTTATTCTTCCAGGCACTGTTTTAAGCCCCTTACATATGCATCTGTTGGCTTACTCAACAAATATTAGTGCCTGATGTATGCCAGCCACTGTTCAGGGTGTTAGGGACACACAGGAATCTTTTTCCTTGTGGAGCTCACATTCAAGCCAGGAGGAGATGACTAAAATTAAGTAGCCAGGCATGGTGGCACAGACCTGTAACCCCAGCTCTGTCAAGCTGATGAAGGAGGATCACTACAGTGTGAGTTCAAGACCAGTCTAGACAATTTATTGAGACCCTGTTTTAAAATAAGAATTCACAAAAAGGGTTGGGTTTGTACCTCAGTTATGTAGTGCTTGCCTAGCATATGAGAGGTCCTAGGTTCAATCCCCAGTACCGAGAAAAAGGTATATGGATTGCTAGAGGCTATTAAGTATGATGGAGAATTAGAGTAGGGAGGGGGTTGACAAATAGTCTTTGCTTGACCACAATTTACTCAGGCTCATTAACCTTCTTCCAAGCTTATAAGTGGAGTTTCTTTTAAAAATCCAGTTGTAGATACCAGGCGGTGGTGGTACACCTTTAATCCCAGCACTCAGGAGGCAGAGGCAGGCGGATCTTTGTGAGTTCGAGGCCAGCCAAGGATGTTACACAAAGAAGCCCTGTTCTCAAAAAAGAAAGAAAGGAAGGAAGGAAGGAAGGAAGGAAGGAAGGAAGGAAGAAAGGAAGGAAGGAAAAGAAAGAAAGAAAGAAAGAAAGAAAGAAAGAAAGAAAGAAAGAAAGAAAAGAAAAGAAAAATAAAAATCCAGTGTAGCAAAGTCTACTAAATCAGTTTAGTGAAAACACCCACCCTCATCTGATTCTCCTCAATATGTGATGGGGCTCCTCCTCATCTTCACTGGCCACCATGTGATTACACTAGCCAGTTTTCAGCAAGAGTGCTGAACTGGGTGTGGTGGCACAGGCCTGTAATCTCAGCACTTGGAAGGATGAGTGAGGAGGATCAAGGGTTCAAGGCCAGACTGGGTTATATAGTGAGACATGGTCTAAAAAAAAGTGAGCTTGTGGGCTGGAGAGATATCTTAATGGTTAAGAGCACTTGCTGCTCTTCTAAAGGACCCGAGTTTGGTTCCCAGCATCCACATAGGGTGGCTTACAACCACTTGTAAGTTCAGCTCCAGGGGATCTGATGCCTTCTGAACTTCACAGGCACCCACACACCACACATGGTGTGCGTGCACATACACACATAAATAAAATAGTTTTTTTAAAATGGGCTTAGCCCGAATCCTTTTACTTCTTGCCTATATTTCTCAGTGATTTCCCATTCACCAACCCCTAAACTGTTCCTTGGCCATAGAGTTCCATATGCCCATGCTATGCTGAGAGTTAAAAAGCCCAGTCTCTCTCTCTGACTGCAAAATCTGATTGCATGGTCCTGAATAAAGTCTGCCTTTCTGTGCCCTAAGAAGTGCTATTAACAGTATTATTTAACAAGGGATCAGAAGTACTATGTGCCAGGGATTAAAATTTAAACAAAGTAGACAGGCATCTCAGTAAGATGACTTTTTTTTTGGTGTTTTGAGACAGAGTTTCTTTGTGTAGCCTTGGCTGTCCTGGAACTAGCTCTGTATACAAGGCTGGCCTTGAACTCACAGAGATTCACCTGCCTCTGCCTCCCGAGTGCTGGGTCAAAGGTGTGCGCCACCACTGCCCAGGTAAGATGACTTTTGAGGTAGCCACCCATGTGGATAACTACAGAGAAGCACCTACCTGGGAGGAAGGAGCCAACACAAAGATGGGCTTAGGCCTAAGGATGTCAATATGGCCAAAGCAGATCTATGATAGGGTAAATACAATTATTCTAGAGATAACTGCCATCCATCATGAACCCTATTGGACTAAGAGGGACAGAAAGGGGACCAGACTCACCCAGGTCCAAGTTGCAGAAGGCTGTCTGGGGGTGGAGTGGGGCACAACTACAGGCCTTACCGGAGGCTATCAGTGATGGCAACAAAAGGATGCCAGAGACCAGAGATGCAAAGGGGGCCATAGTGGTATCTGCTGGGAGAGACGAAATGTTAGATGATCCCCAGCCCGACTGGTCTGTTTACCCATTGGCCCTAGGGAGATTAGGGAACTCTTTAGGGTAGAAAAGCCTGGAAATCTTAAGGGGGGTCAAGAAACCCAGAGAAGTTTAGGGGCTTAAACAGTTGGGAAAGTTTCCAGTTTTATTGAGTTCCAGAGATTTAGGAGACAGTGAATTAGAAGATAATTAGATAGATAATTAGAAGAGTTGTGGCAGTTGATGAATCAGGAGCTGAGAAGTTTGAGAATTTAACAGAGTTGGAGAAGTCTGACATTTGTGGAGTGAGGAATTTGGAATTTAGGAAACTGGAGAAGTATAAGGGGAGGTTGGGAGTTGAGGACTATTAAGATATAATGGGCAGGGGAATTTAGGGATATTGAGGATTTTACAGGAGGTTTGGGGTTTTAGAAAGCTGGAGGAAATTTGAGGGTTAAGGGTCTGGGGGAATTTGGAAGCTTAAGGTAATGGGAGTGCTGAGGAATTTGAAGGCAGAAGAACTTTTGAAGTTCCAGGAGCTAGACATGGCAGAGTTTGAGGGCAGGGGGAGTTAAGGGAGCTGTAGCGATTTGGAGGGCAGTGAACAAATTCAGGGGAGTTGGCAAGTTGGGAAGTCTTTAAGGTATTAAAGGCTTGTGAGTTTGGAGCACTTGGGGATGAATACCAGGGGCATGAGGGAGTCTGGAGAGTGCAGCTTGGGACACGCATTCCAGACATCCTCCCCTTATATCCCCCCCTTGGCCAAATAGGGATCCTGATACCTGCAAGTCAAGTTGAGCAGCTAGTCCGGCAGGGAACTGGATGGGCCTGGTGGCTGCACCAATAAAGGCTCCAGGCAAGCCCCAGTCCTGCCGGGACACCCGGCTCCCACTTACCTCTAGTGTCTCCCTAGAAGCCCGATCTCTGCGGCGATGGCGGCAGGGACTGAGCGGTGAAGAATAAATGTCCATGCAAGGGGCGGAGTTGGCGCGGAAATCACAGCCTCCAGGCTTCCTGGATGCATTACTCATCCACCCACCTCAGGAATCGAAGCCTAGGGGCGGGCCGGAGGACCGGCCTAAAGATACTCCTTCCACTGCCAGCCAGACCACTGCACCCCTTCCCCCAGCTCCACGTCACTCGAATTCCTCCCTGGCGGCCTTGAAGGGCAGAGGAAAGGCAGCCCAAGCCCCTAGAGCCCTGTGCCTCTCCACTTCCCCACATCCCCCAAACTTCCTATGGCTGAAGTTAATGACTTCATTCCCAGCCTTACTGTAACAAGAAGGGCTTGTTACAAGGTAAGGGATGACAGAGGGGAGACAAACTAGAAAAACAGTTGAGGAACATGAAATGGGAGAAGAGGCACAAATACATAGTGGAGAAATTGATACACTGAGAGTGTCTGTGACTTATTCAAGATGGCAGTTAAGTGTGTCAGAACTGGGAGAGGAACTGAGGTAGCGTGCAGACAGAGCTTAGGTGGTAACCTTTCCCAAAAAGCTTGTTGTGGTTGCACACACCAGTGAGCCTAGAACTTAGGATGTTTGAAGATAGTCTGTGCTACAAGAGACCCTGTCTTAAACAGAAACAAAATCAAACAGGCAAATAGCTGAAGTGAAGAACTTTGCTGGGTCACAGGACAAAACTGGGATTTAAACCTGGGCTTCTTGACCCTGAGATCTTAACTCAGGCGGGGCACAATCTTGGCAAGCAGGGAATGGTGTGGTGAGCATGGGAGGGGGAGTGAGGGTGTGGATGATGGTGAAAGAAGCCAGTGAGTCAGTAGAAAACCCATCCCCACCCCATCCTGCCCAGCTCCTTCCCCACCAACCAGCCCACATCCCTGGTGGGGTTGGGATGAGGCAACTGCTGCCCACCAGCTTCCTGATGATGCAAGGATATTCCCTGGGGTCTTGTGGAAGGGTTCGGTGGAATAGTTAACACCCTCAATTAATATAAGAAGGACAGACCAATAATAATGACAATGGCTGTAATCCCAGCAAGCAAGCAGATCCTGAGAGTTTGAGGGTAGCCTGGTCTACATAGTGAATTCCAGGGACAGCCTGGAACATACATAGTGAGACCTTGTCACACACACACACACAAAAATAACGATAGTGATGACAGCAGCTACTTATTGAGCACTTACTGTATACTATTGCTACGATCTTCGTGTAAATTTACTTTAGCTAATTAAATTTTACTTACTTAGATTAGCTCAATAACCACATCATACAAAAACCTGCTGCAAGCACTCAACAGAGTACTTTTAAAAGTTTTTTTACATTTATTCAGTGTGTGTGTGTGTGTGTGTGTGTGTGTGTGTGTGTGTGTGTGTGTGTGTGTAGCTGTACTCTTGCCATGGCATGCTTGTATTGTTCAGAGGACAACTTGCAGGAGCCAGTCCTCTACTTCCCTGTGGTTCTGGGGCTCAAACTCAGATTGTCATGCGTGGAGGCAGCAAACATCTTTATCTGCTGGACCATATTGCCAGCCCAGGATTTTTGTTCATTTGCTATTGTCCTCCTTGTTCCTTAATGTTTATTAATGAAGAGGTGTTAAATCAATAACAACAACAATAATAGTAACAAACACTTTGAAGATTCAGGTTTACTGTATGTGTATACTAAGATTTTTTTCTCTGAAATGATTGACTTATTCTTCCCAACATGTCTGTGAGTTATAAGTCATATTTTCACTATTTAATGAGAAAACAGAGACAGAAAGGGGTCAAACGGTCTGTTCAGGAATGATAATGAAGAAATTACTGTGGTGGGGAGGTAGGGACACAAAGAAAGGGGGAAAGTGAAGGAAACCACAATTTTCAACCATCTGATTGTGAAAGTGAGGAGTGAGAGTAGATGAGACAGGGGGCTGAGTAACTAGGTGACGGGACTGAGGAGAAGTAAAGACAGGGGAAGTCCAGTTTCTCCTCCTCTATGACCCTGCTTCTGACGCCAGCTTTTTAACTATGAAACCTCAGTCAGCACAGTTTTGCCAACTGTTTACATGCAAGGATTCAGATTGTTGTGCAGGTTTGAAATGGAGTTGGGTGGACATTACAGAGGGGTGTTTGACCTGTAACTATCTGGGAAACTGGATAGGTGTGAGGTTCCCATAGGGATCCATTGGCATGTGCAAATACCTGATGATCCCCAGAAAGTATTAAGTGCTTGGTCTTGATTATACCCTTCATACATATCAGGAAACTGAGGCCCAGAGAGACAGTATCTACCTGGGATCTCACATGGCCTTAGGAAGAAGAAAGGCCAAGATAGCAGGCTACAGCTCTCCAGGAAATCCCAAGCCCCCTGTATACACATATGATGGACACACACTTACATGCACACACAGCACTGTGTTCAAGCTCAGGAACAGAGGAAGCAAAGCTGGTTTATAAAAAGGATCCAGAAAGCTTAGCAGGTGGAAGTAGGTATGCTTGTGTGTGCACAGCTCTCTGGTGGGTCTATGCCTCTGTGAGTGGCATGTGTCCCTTAGTGTGCTCCATGTCCCTTCCTGAGAGCCAGGCATATATCTGAGCATGTTGCTTCTGAGAGTTGAAGGTTGCCGATATAACTATGCCTGCCTCATGCTTCTCTGTGTAATGAGTAAATGCCTGAGTGGAAGGTCTCTCCCTTGTCACACACAACACATATCTTGGCATTGTTTCCTTGGCCTGCTGCCTGGATGACACCCTTACCACCATCCCCCTTTACAAAACCATGCCACTCATGATGACACTCATTTGGGAAATGAGGAAGGAGGAGGTTTTAGAGGGAAGGAGAAACCTAAAGGTCAATCAGTCACTCTTAGACTATGGGGCTTCCTGTGCCTTTTGGGAACTGCCACTGCCCAAGTAGCCCCTCTAAGAATGTGATCCCTACCCTCTCAGTAGGAGGCAGGGGCTCTGTATTTACACATGGGATGTGATGGGGCTAGGGCCCTCCAACCTGGTCCCTTCTACCTAGCCCAGGGTACAGGGAGACTTAACACATCTTTGCCTAACATATACTTGCCTAAATTTGTGTCCACACCCAGGAGTGGTTTCTGTGTGTCTGATTTTCTGTATGTTTGTGTTGTAGATATGGAAAAATAAGTTGTGCCTCTAGATATACTTTTCATGGATCCAGGAATGTGATGAGGTCTGAGTTACAGGAATTTGGTTATTGGAATGCCTAGAAGTGCATACACCTTCTGTATGTTGTATTGATCCTTCTGTTTATTGTGGACATGCAGGGGAGCGCTGCAAATGTCCATTGATTGTGTGCCTCTAGAGTTGTGCATACTTCTATACTGAATGAGTGGCTCTTTCTGTTATGTGTCCTTCTGTTATGTAGGTATGAGCAAGGGGAGGGAGCTCATGTGTATGCTCCAAGGTGCTGATTGTGGGTCTTAAGAGTGTGGAGTACATGCTGCTGAGGCTGGTGGCTGCCCCATACTAAGAGCACCTGGCAGGCAGAATAACCACATGAGCTGACTGACTGGATCTCTGCAAAGTCCCAGAACTAGATGTGATTTAAGCCTGTGGTTGTCTTTCTCAATAGATGTGGACACCTCTGGCTTTGGCTGGGTAATCTGAGTTCTGAAGGTGTGTGTGTGTGTGTGTGTGTGTGTGTGTGTGTGTGTGTGTACATAAAGATGAAGCTAACATGCAAGGCTTGGCTGAAGACATTGCTGTATGCTACCTACTACACCTTCATACACATAATCACTTCAATATCTATTCATTATAAAAACAAACTTTCGGGGGCTGGAGAGATGGCTCAGCGGTTAAGAGCACTGTGCTGTTCTTCCAGAGGTGCTGAGTTCAATTCCCAGCAACCACATGGTGGCTAACAACCATCTGAAATGAGATTTGGCGCCCTCTTCTGGCCTGCAAGCATGCATGTAGGCAGAACAATGTATACATAATAAATAATAAATCTTTAAAAAAAAAAAAAACTTTCTCTTTTCTGGGAAATTCCCTCACCCTCATCTAAGGCCTCTGCCTGGGAAAGCAGATATGGAAAGCCTAGGGCTTAGAAAGTGGAATAAGTGACTGGCAGTCAGGGCTCTGCATTCAATTCTGGGCTCAGAGTTGCTGTGAAACTATTTACTGCAGTTCAGCGTGTCTTTGACCAACCTTTTTCTGGGGGAAAAAATGGCAACCAGTGTGGCTCACACACTATGGGTCACCAACTCTTGGAAGTCAGTACTACTGCTCTGACCATGCCTATTCTGCCTTCATCTTCACCAGCTCAGCAGCACAACGTACCCTGTGGTTGTGAAGATGGGCCATGCACACTCTGGGATGGGCAAGGTGAGTCCCAGCAGGGCACACATGCATGCTAGTATAGTGCATGCTCTGGCATTGTATGTAGTTAAATATGCATCTGTGTACTCAATGCACAACAATAATTCTGTTTGGTGATGCTTTCTGGGATGTCTTCATCTAATTGGATTTTGTATTTTTGTATTCATCTGATTTTTTTCATCCCATATTTCTCTCATGCAATCAGCCAATTTTGTATGTCCCATTACTGTGCTAGTATACCAAGAGTATGGCTGTATATATATATATAGGCATGGCTCTGTGATGAACACACATCATCTTTTATGTTCCAGGCTCTTGGGGTCCAGTATGCTTTCCATCCAGCTGATTTTGTCTGTGTGTGTGTAGCAAGCAGATTTGTAATTTGTAAGTGTGAGTGTCTCTCAGCTTCTGTGTTTGTATATTATGTGTACAACTGAGTTTTTGTGTCTATGTATGTACAGTTCTTTTTACAGCTTTATTGAGATATAATTCCACACTTCATTCAACTCCCCTGTTTAAAGTGGATAATTTGGATTGAGGATGTAGCACAGTGGTAGAGTGCTTGCTTAGCATGTGTAAGGCCCTGTGTTTGGTCCCCAGCACTGCAAAAAGAAGTGGGTTTTTTTAAGCATATTCAGAGTTGTACACAAGCAATTTTATGTTTGTGTGCACATGTATGAAACAGGATACCCATAATTATGCATGCTTGAGTACCTTGGCATATCCACTTTATATTTGTCTACACATCCTTCCAGATACATCCACTCCTCATACTGCCTTAACCTCATACCTATGCCCACAGGTCAAGGTAGACAACCAACATGACTTCCAGGACATTGCAAGTGTTGTGGCACTGACTAAGACTTATGCCACTGCTGAGCCCTTCATTGATGCCAAATATGATGTGCGTGTCCAGAAGATTGGGCAGAACTACAAAGCCTACATGTGAGTGAAGAGACAGGGGCCTTCAGAGGGGCCCTGCCCCATGCATCTCAGGCCCCACTAAGCTTCTTCCCCTTTCCCCACTAGGAGGACATCAGTGTCAGGGAACTGGAAGACCAACACAGGCTCAGCCATGCTTGAGCAGATTGCCATGTCTGACAGGTGAGAGATGTAATTGAGGAGTGGGAGGAGGGAGGGTGTAATAGAATCATCTGAACCTGGCAATGACAAGCTGCCCTGCTCCTTGTCTTGGCAGGTACAAGTTGTGGGTAGACACATGCTCAGAGATTTTTGGGGGACTTGACATCTGCGCAGTGGAAGCGCTGCATGGCAAGGATGGAAGGGACCACATTATTGAGGTGGGAACACCCAGGGATTTGTGGGGCACAGAGGGAAGAGTGGGTGCATGGAAACAACAATCTAAACCATAAAACATTTTGCAACTCAAAGTCCTCAGTGAATGGTGGTGTAAACTGTAACATACTGTGTAAGCTGGGTGGGACATCCCTAGCAAATGGCAATGTTAAAAACTTGGACATCCTTGGTGAATGGTAACACTTGTTAAGATAGAAGGTGCTCTGTGAATAGATATCTTGACAAATGGCAAAGTACTTAGTTAACTTTTAAAGTGTCCTAGGAACCACAGGGAAGCACTTTGTTAAAGAAAAAGTGTCCAGTAAACTATAAAGCTGGAACCAGCAAACACCTTCTGTAAAGGATCAGCAGTACATATTTTATGCTTTGTGGGCTATGCAGTTCATTACTCTGACTCAGTTCTGCAAAAGCAACCACAAGCAAGACAGAAAATTAGTGCAGTTGTGCTTATGGATACAACTTATGTATTTATGTCCAAAACTTTTAAATACATTGAATTTAAATTTCCTATCTTTTGCACATGTGAAAAAAATTTCCCGATCCATTGAAAAACATGAGGCTGGGTACAGTGAGAAACTATAATCCCAGCACTTGGAAGGCTGAGGCAAGAGATGAAGAGTTTGAGGGTAGCCTGGACTACACAGTAAGAGTCTCAAAAAGAAAAAATATAAAAGGATCTGGCTTGTGGTACATGCCTGTAATCCTAGCAACTTGGGAGGGTGAGGCAGGATCCTGTCTGTGATTTTGGAGCTAGACTTGTGGGTTTTAGGTTTGTCTGTGTAGTTGTGGTTCTGCTTTCTTTAAAAAAGAAGAAAAAGATATGGAACCTACCTTAGCTCATGAGCGATACAAAAACATGTACCAGGCCAGATTTGTCCCATGGACCCTGATTTGCAGAGCCAACTCTAACATCCCACCCCCAAAGCTGTTCAGAGCCCTGGAACAGACAGGTTTTCCTTACAGTGAACAATCAGTGCCCCTTAGAAACCAGACAGAGCTCTCTTTGCAGTCACCATGCTTTTTGCCAAGTGAGAGTGTGGTGACACTGTGGCCTCACATGCACTTCCTGACTCTCCCTGCACCGGATCCCTTTTCCTCCCACAGGTGGTGGGCTCCTCCATGCCACTCATTGGTGATCACCAGGATGAAGACAAGCAGCTCATAGTGGAACTCGTGGTCAACAAGATGGCTCAGGCTCTGCCTCGGCAGCGGCAGCGGGATGCCTCCCCTGGCAGGGCCTCCCACAGCCAGGTCAGGTCCTTGGCATTGAGCTAGTGGGAAGGAGGCCAGCCCTTGATCAAGCTGGTACCATTAAGGAGGTATCAGTAGAGGAGTAGTGTCACTTTTATGTACATGTGGCCTTGATAAATTGCTACTACCTTGCTGTCCTTAAGAGTCTCCTGACCACATATGGGGTGAGGGGCCTCACAGCCCCACCGCATCCCCTCAGCTGGCCACAAATGGAGCAACACCCAGCACACAGGGAATCCATGTCATTTTGATTGGCTATTGCTCCCACTGGCTGGTAACTATTTTTAATCTCTCCTGTTCCACTCCTCGGCCACAGACTCCATCCCCAGGAGCCCTGCCTTTGGGACGCCAGACCTCCCAGCAGCCTGCAGGACCTCCTGCTCAGCAACGACCCCCACCCCAGGGTAAGTGAGGGAAAGTCTCCTGGGTTCCTACCATCCTAAGCATTCTCACCTCTCTAGCTCACTCACTCTCACTTTGCTGTTCTCTTTTTCTGTTCCTAGGAGGCCCTCCACAGCCAGGCCCAGGACCTCAGCGTCAGGGACCTCCACTGCAGCAGCGCCCACCCCCACAGGGCCAGCAGCATCTTTCTGGCCTTGGACCCCCAGCTGGCAGCCCTCTGCCCCAGCGCCTACCAAGTCCCACAGCCGCACCTCAGCAATCCGCATCTCAGGCCACACCGATGACCCAGGGTCAAGGCCGCCAGTCCCGGCCAGTGGCAGGAGGCCCTGGAGCACCTCCAGCCACCCGCCCACCAGCCTCCCCATCTCCACAGCGTCAGGCGGGGGCCCCACAGGCTACCCGTCAGGCATCTATCTCTGGTCCAGTGCCAACAAAGGGCTCAGGAGCCCCACCCGGAGGGCAGCAGCGCCAGGGCCCTCCGCAGAAACCCCCAGGCCCCACTGGTCCCACTCGTCAGGCCAGCCAGGCAGGTCCCGGACCTCGCACCGGGCCACCCACCACGCAGCAGCCCCGGCCCAGCGGCCCAGGTCCTGCTGGACGTCCCACCAAACCACAGCTGGCCCAGAAACCCAGCCAGGATGTGCCACCACCCATCACCGCCGCTGCCGGGGGACCCCCGCACCCCCAGCTCAAGTAAGGGGACCTCTATAGCAGCCTTGGCTGCTCACAGAGGGCGCTGGCCCCAGTAAGTCATCCCCAGATCCCAAGGAAAACCAGGTTTCATTTGCCTGAGAACTCTTGCCAGACTGGGCCACCCCTCACCCCACCCCCATCCCCACGCGCGCACATATATTTGTCTCAATCCCAGCAGTTGAGGGAAGAATTCCAACATCACTTCCAGTTCAGGTTCCTCCCCACAGGCCCTGGGAAAGTCCCCATTCCAGGCCTTTGGCCCATCCCAGTAGCCTGACTGACCCACTTCCAGTACCTCCTGGCCCAGCTGATCTCCCAGTATCACCCTCCTCCCAACCATCCCTGAATTCCCTCAGGCCGATTTGTAGCCTTCCATCATTTCACTCTTTCCAGCATTTCCTCAAACTTTTTTTCCTAATAGAAGCTCCTTTCTGGTCCATTCCCAAATCCTTCTGACTTCAAATTCTCCCACATCAGCCTTACCACCCTTTCTGCTTCTTTTGGTCCATTCTATCCCCCTAGCCCTTGGCTCAAAAGTTTTCCCTGCCCCACGCATTTGCTCCACCTCAGACTGGCTTGCCCCCTACCCACCTGTCCTTGGCCCAGGCCCCTCCTAGACTCCTTACCTTTTGACTAGCAACTTCTCTCTCGTCCTTCATATCAAACTAGCCTAGAATTGGACTCTTCCCATTAAACCCACACCACTTTACCTTGTTCCCAAGTCCATCCCAGCTCCCTGGCCCCAGCTTCACCTGCTCCTAAAGTTCTCCCATCCTTGAGAATCCATCAGGATCCAGGTCCATGCTTGGGGGTGGGAAGGTCACAGGCACAGCCCCAGGATCAGAGGGGCAGGGCTGGGGCTGGGCCTGGGGTAACATTGTGTTTCTCTCCCTTCCTCTCCTTCCTCTTCCCCCCTTCCTCCCATGCCTCCACCTTGTCTCTCTCTAGCAAATCCCAGTCTCTGACCAATGCCTTCAACCTTCCAGAGCCAGCCCCGCCCAGGCCCAGCCTTAGCCAGGACGAGGTGAAAGCTGAGACCATCCGCAGCCTGAGGAAATCTTTCGCCAGCCTCTTCTCCGACTGACACCCCACTCTGAGAACCCCTAAATCCCTAGACAACCCTCTCTGGGTCCTGAGTCCATTTCTCACTTTTGGAATCTCCAAATCCCTCAAGAACCCCTCTTCTGGTTCTCCAACATCCCACTTCTCATTCCTCAAGATGCCGGTATCCCTTGAGAAACCTGGTCCTAAATGCAGTTCTCACATTTGGGAAT